AGTGGCATTTTTGTAAATGGACACTCTTAAGTGGCATTCTTGCAAATGTGCACACAAAAGTGACATTTTTGTAATTGCCCCTAAAATTTTTCTATTATATCTTTTACTAAATTATTTTACAAACATTACAAAATGATAATCTTTTATTAAATTATTTTCTTCTTCTAAACAAATTTATTTAGTAATCTAAAGAATGAAGTTTATAAACTTGTATAGATAAATTCAAACTATATCAGTGATTATTTATTGTGTTTTTGCTTGTTATATTTCCAATTAGGTATCAATTTATTAGTTTTCATAATTTTCATCTGTGATATTTCTTTTGTTTTCAATGTTCATGTCATATGTTCAATATTCCACAACATTCCACAACTTTGTTTACACCATTTAGGCTCATTATTGCTCTATCACATCACAAGATATCACTTTGTTACAATATGTGTTATTTGGCTAATTAATGCACTATTCTAAGATATTTTCACCCAATTTCTCAAAATTCAATAGACAGGTAAAGTTTCCAAAGTCAAATTTTACGTTGATTGGATCTACATCTTCCAGACCCACAATAACGGAGACTTTACTCATATTCTTTTCTTTTTTTTTGTGGAAAAGGAAAAGAAAATTATCGACCATTACTAGTTATATTTAATGTTTGATAAAAAAAAAAACCACTATGAAAGTTCAATCTGAAATAAAAGAGGCCATGTCATAGTAAATCGTTCATTGGATGAAATTGATCTTTAAATCTTATATTTTTCTAATTATCCCAGATAAATAAAAATCATTATATTTTTAACAAAATGTGAAAAAATGTAAGAGACAAACAAAATAAATTAATTTTTTGTTGTTTACGAAGAGATGCTCCTAAGAAAAATAGAAGCCAACACAAGTTTAAAAAATAAAAGAAAAGGAAAAAGTAGGATATTTGTATGAAAAATAAATATTTTTTTTTACGAAGAGTTGCTCATATTAATCTATTAAAAAGTAGGATATTTGTATGAAAAATAAATTTATTTTTTGTACAAAATTCAATGTGAAAAAATGATTTGTTTTTTAGAAGATGATTAAATAAGGTGTTCAGTTTTTTTTATGAGAGGAATCTCAACTTTTTATAATAAATTGCGCAATCCAATGTATTAAAGTATTATACATTTGATTTGGCGCGCTTACATATATAAAATAATAAAAAGGTAAAACTAAGCTTTCGTAGATTCATATTAATTATTAACAATGACAAAAAGAAATTAACAACAAAAATATATTTTTTCTTGGT